AACGTAAAGATACCTCCATGTTCGTGCAGTAAGCCCGTATTGACAAGACAATATTATGTCCTTTTAAATAATACTAGAAATACATGCATGCATTTATTCTCGCCTATATTTTCCAAACACTGTTTCAACATGAAGTAATCATAATTACGCCAACACTGAACGCAGGCTTGCGTTGCATGTTAGTGTCATGTTAGTCATGGCAACACGAATCACGATTTTTAAAATTTTTGTGCAAACACGGGCTTTAGGACAAATTCGATTCGAAAACAATAGTATTCTATCTAAATAGCAGTTAAAATAAAGTGTACGGCACCTGAACTGTTCAATATCTTGCTTCCGTATCCATAAAACATTCACATATATGCAAAACTGTATATTTTCAAAATTCACCATATTTATTTAATTAGAACCCAAGTTTTCGCGGTCCACACAAAATATTAAATTCCGTGTGCACCTTGGGCAATTGCTAGATAGTATACTTCAAAATAAGGTTTCCGTTTTTCTATCAATTTTTAAAATAATTAAAATAAGTTAGGGTTAGGTTAGGGTTTAGGTTAGGGTTTAGGTTAGGGTTTAGGTTAGGGTTAGGTTAGGGTTAGGGTTAGTATTAGGGTCAGGGTTTAGTTTTGCGTTAGGATAGTTTTTCCTACCTTATCTTATTTTGAAGTATACTATCTAGCGATCACCGTGAATCTTGTGCACTTTGTGCACTGACCTTGTGTGAACCGCGAAAGCTTGGGTTCTAATGTAAATAAATATGGCGGATTTTGAAAATATACAGTATTTGCAGAGCAGTATTTGCATATATGTAAACACAGAATAAGGTACACAGAAGGTCGACTCGAGTCATGATTCATCATCAAAATGCTGACGCCATGGTCCTAGCCAGTGCGCGTTTGAGAGGCATTCCCCCCTGGACATACGCCATTTTGAATATTATCAGGGGGCGAATGCCTCTCAAACGCGCACTGGCTAGGACCATGGCGTCAGCATTTGATGACGAATTACGGGTTACGCCAAAATCATAGGAAAATCATAGGAAAAACGAAGAAGTCGGCCTTCTGTGTCCCTTATTCTGTGATGTACATGTTTTATGGATATAGAAGCAAGATATTGAACAGTTCAGGTGCCGTACACTTTATTTTAACTGCTATCTAGATAGAATACTGTTGTTGTCGAATTGAATTTGTCCTAAAGCCCGTGCGCAAAGCTGCAAAAAATAGATGAAACTTGAACACTTTTAAACACAGAACTATCAATTTCTAAAATATATAAAGTATAGGTATATTATTTTGGTTTGTATGGGCTTTATTTTAATGTAAAATTCAAAACGAAACTCTACGTAAAATGTTTTTAAATGTGAATTGAAACCAGCTGCTTTTTGCCGATATTTATATACACTCTTCAACTCAAGCTTCTACTTATTTAATACTCGCACCTTGAAAGGAAATAAATTTAATTCGTACAGGACGCTGATGAAAATAATTTGCTTTCTTTTTTATAATGAACTTCTACAAAGGTTAATTTAACTAAGAAACGTTCGCAAACAATGCACAGGAATGACTTGAACATCAGGAACAAAGTCCACATTAATACAAACTTAAGTCATACGTACATAAACAATTGAAACAAACTTGCCCTATACACTTATAGGATTTCTCATACTAAATCAATTCTTATAAACGTTTACGTTTACTGTAAAAATGGTAAAAAGTTTTACAATTTGTTATGTGAAACGATTTTCCAAGCTTTCCGACATGCATTTTTTATATTTGTTGCCTCTTCACTCCTGGCAAACAGCCATATTTTGAGATCAATGAGATGACCACCCACCGAACCACTCACTGTAACCCACGTCCGCGGTCATTGGTGAACTTCAGACTTCGCTATTAGAGACCTTAAGATTGACGTTTACGGCAAACGTCAAACCGCTAGCGAGGTTTTTGATTTTACAACTCTATTATAATAGCTTTTACACCAGTTTTGAAATATGTTAAACTTGTTAAACTTGTGCTCTTTAGCAATGATTTAAGAAAGCAAAATAACCACTAGTCATGCCATTCACTAAAGCAGTAAATTGAGATTTGGCGTTTGAAGTTGACGTTTGGCGTATAAATTTTATGCTTGAACTGCTACGAGGGCTTGTAGTCGTTAAAGCATGAAATTTATACGCCAAACGTCAACTTCAAACGCCAAGTCTTAATTTACTGCTTTGGTGAATGGCATGACTAGTGGTTAATTTGCTTTCTTAAATCATTGCTAAAGAGCACAAGTTTAATAAGTTTAACATATTTCAAAACTGGTGTAAAAGCTATTATAAAAGAGTTGTAAAATCAAAAACTTCGCTAGCGGTTTGACGTTTGCCGTAAACGTCCATCTTAAGGTCTCTAATGCTCTCTTTTCCCCGGGTGTAAATAGCCGGGGGGAATTAGTCCCTCGCACGGCACTTCGCGCCGCCGGCTCGGGGATTAACAAACTTTCGTTGGTAGGGATGCAACTACACACGTAAAATCGCACAAGTTGTTACAGGTCGACACACAAGTTGTTACAAATCTGTTCACAAGCTGACGACAAGTTGTGTTCGCACTGCTTGTTCCCAGTTGTTGGAACTGAAGTTTGGAACAAGCTGTTAACAACTTGTAACAAACTTGATGACATTATATCCGACTTGTTACAAGGTTGCTCAGTCACGATATAACAAGAATGTTACAAGGTTGACGACACAAGGTTGTAACAATATTGTAAGATCACGGCTGTATCGGACTCGTTGGAACAACCTTGCAACAAGTCTAATAATATCAACAAGGTCGTTACAAGTTGTTAACAGCTTGTTCCAAACTTGTTGACAACTTGGGACAAGCAGTGCGAACACAACTTGTTGTCGGCTTGTTGGCAGCCTTGCTACAAGATGTGAGATTTTTACGCGTGTACCTGAAAAATATAAGGAGAATTTCGACGTTTTGAGTCGAGGGCCTTCGTCTGGAGTGACTACCTTATAAATATACCCTTTTAATCAAGCGGTCATCCCGAGACTGGAGAGGTACAGGTCCACTACCGTCACATTTAACTCGTATCTTTGTGATTATTTCCAGGCTACGCTTGTTTTGAATTGTTCTGACAAGACATGTGACTATAATCTGAGAGTGAATATAACGTAATTATTATCATGTTAATAAAATTTATTAACTTTTGTTTAAATTGAAGATGCGGTGGTCGGTTTTGTGCAGCGTAGATTGGAGTATATAGTTAAGCCTGATGGTGCTAACTTGATCATTTGTTTAACTCTAAAGCAGCAAGATATATCTTTTATAAAATTCATCATTTGGATACTTACTAACACTTATTCCAAAAATTTGGGGGTATACGAGATTTATGCCTCGAAACCTGGCTCCAGCCTGAGAGGGGTAAATCTCGTATACCCTGACAGACCTTTGGAACAAGTAAGCTACATTCTCCCTTTATATATGATACACTGTATTTCGAACGTAGGCTCCAGTGTCGCGTCAGTATTCTTATCCGAGTTTTGCCCTGCATGAACTACTCGAAAAAGGAACACTTGATATTATATATATATATATATATATATAAACTCGAAAAAGGAACACTTGATATATATATATATATATATATATATATATATATATATATATATATATATATATATATATATATATATATATATATATATATATATATATATATATATATATATATATATATATATATATATATATATATATATATATATATATATATATATATATATTCAATATGTCTTCTCTATTTCTAGTCTCGACAAGAAGCAAATCACAATAAGCAAAACAAAAGTCCTCACAGCAGTCATTGATCTAATTAATCAAGACGTACAGGTGACATACAATCCCGAAGTTATCATAACTCATGATCCATCGCTTCAGTACGAGAAAATTACAGTACTTGATGTAAGTGTCCATTTCAACTCGAAATTTGAGCATTTCTGCCACTCACTGAGTTAACGAGAAAGTTGTCACGCGGAATTTCGTGCACTTATATGAGATAAATATCAGGCTTTTGGGCATCACTAGATTGAACTAATGTCGAAGACGAAGGATTTTCTAGATGCAAATTTCGAGTGTAAATCAGTTTATTTATACATTTGTTTAGACGTAACCTTCGCAGCTGGTTAGTGGTTAAGTCTAGTAAATAATTGTATAAAAAGTACATTTTCCATCTACAAAATCCTTTGCTTATTTGTGATAAAATAACCCGCTGGGTAGAGCGGTAGTGTACCAACTTAAAGATGGGAATCCTGTTCGAGACTACTTTTGTTATTCTCTGCAGTTTTCATATACCTCTGGGTACATATGTATAAAGCCTGTTTTATACGTCGAATTTTGGTCGCGTCGAATGCATTACAATAGATAATGAGATGATAAACCTCACTAAGCTTCATTATCTATTGTTTGAATTGCATTCGACGCGGCCGAAATTCGACGTATAAAACAGGCCTAAATGTCGTTGGATCCAAGTGCGGCTCAGGTCGATATCGATATCAAGAGTAGATAGCAAAGAAGTTAAACAACGGCAATGCTTTTGGAAGAACGAAGTCATTATTTTTTCTTTTCACAGAAACAATTCAGGATTGAAAGACGATCAGTGCCTGCAGAAAATGCGACCGTTTCAGAACATTTTAGAATTCAAGGGCCGCTTGATACGAATCAAAAGGTGAGGCATCTCACGTATTTTATCCGCTGAAGTTTCTGAGCAGCTGCCTACGATTATAAGATTTTCAGGGTTGCTCTCATTTGTCTGTTGTAACGCCTCGCGAGATGTTCGCACGCAATGGTATGTTTAATACACGCAGACCAGTTTTAACAGGGGTTTCATTATTTTTGAAAGTATAGCAGCCTCGTTTTAGAAAATAGGCGGCGGAATATGGAATGGAGCTTTCATCATTTGTTGGGGGACGAGAGGGGGGGGATGCGGGTGTCCAATGCAGTCTTTTGAGAATTGTGTGTCTGTGCTCTGCCTCTAGGAGTAGCCAGTAACGTTTAACTTGTTTTTGGTTTCGGCTTGTGGGTTAACATTAATAATTTCAAAGCAGAAACAAGAATTTAGAAACACCTCAACATTGAAGAAAATTCAATAATACAATGAAATTAATATTATTCAGTCACTGCCATATATTAATATAAACAAATTATATAAAGCATAGCCATTAGCCATACAGACATTACATGCACATTACATTGTAAACACAACAAAGTTAAATGTTAATAAACGCATTTATTCATCATCTTCAGAACTCGAGTCCTTTCAATGAAACGAATTGCTTATTCACCTGCATTTGAATAAGTTTCATTTGAATATTTTTCTGTTTTACTATCATGTTGAAACATAGACAGGGGCGCTGAAGTTTGCTCGTTTTCGGGCTGGACAGAAATGGTTGTGTGTACGTGTTGTTTGATTGTGTAATTACAGGCGAAGCTAAATAAATAAATAAATAAAAAAAATTTGGTCTCGATCGTTTAAAGTATTATAAAATATCCCTGTCTTTGGTTTCTTTGGTCCGTTTCCTCTCCGCCATTTTAGGATAAACATCACAATTAATATTTACTTCCGGTTTCTCTTCACCATTTCAAGGTGGCGGACATACGGAAAAATATTTTTAATTAAACCACTAAATCATCTTCACATTAATGAAATACGCTTTCAAGACAAAAAAACCCTGTTTGAATAGACGGTAAGACCACGCATTTAATAGACAAGTGTAATTTCTATTAAAATTCACTTATTTAAAACATCTAAAATTTCACACAAAGTGTCGAAGTAGCCGGCGATGATACTGAAAGTAGCCGGCGGAATTCGCCGGTTGCCGGCTTCTAATGAAATCCCTGGTTTTATGTAATATTTTTACTATCGGTACCTAACCGAACACACCCTCCGGGAAAGTAGTCAGCCTTGTCTATAGAGCCTCGTTTTTGTGATTTGAGATATTAGGTTTCAGTCCTTTGCCTTGTTACAGAGGGTACATTTACGAAATCATGCAGTTATATTAAATGATACAAATGACCTTTATAAAATCAAGTCATCATTAACAAGATAGAGGTCTCTAAAGCCGATATCACGAAAACTAGGCTCTATATAGCCAAGGATAAGCACTTTCCGGAAGATGATGGCTAAATTGTGTGGGTGTGTGGGTCGCGCGTCGTGACTACGGTAGTATACGTCCTGTGGGACGTCCCGTCCTACATGCTTCAGTCATCAATCCGGAAGGGTGTATTTTAAGTTGCTTCATTTCTTCATGTCAAGTTACTCGCCAAGCCAACCGCACCAACTGTGCAATTTTATAATGATTTCAATGAATAGCCTACATGTACATTTTAATTAAATATTTTAACTAATTACCTTTGCGGTCGTCTGTTCACATCCTGAGCAACGTTAGTTGAGACACGTTTTCAACATAGATGTCTATCCGCCTTTAGCCATAGCTCCTCAATTTAAGTGTGATTTACAGTATTTTTTATATTGATTTTTAGTAATTTTATTATTAAACTGCAGTGCTTGTTTTAATCAATCCCCATTGAAAAACTCCTTAGGAAAATATGGACGCTTTATGTTTAAATATTTGTTTAAAAAATCAGTTCTTTTTAGTTTTGTATGGCGAATAAATAAAAACTGTACGTTGTCGTTTATTGTTGTTGCAATAATATAAATATACGTGATGTTTTCGTAAACCAAAACTTGTATAATAAAAAATCAATTATTTAATCAACACTTTCGTCGATAATAACAGCATATTCTATTTTTTCAGGTTTCCTTTAGACTGCAATACTCTACTCAGAAAGTGACGGGCAAAAAACGTGAATTATATATCAATGTGAAGGCAATAGGGTATGTATTTTATAACGTTGATTTTGAACATTTTATTTCAATGTAATGAAACCACAGATGATGGTCAACTTGCAGTAATTATGAGCGTGAGAAAATGTTAGGGTTGTTTTACTTTATGTAGTAATTTTGTATTTGAAGACAAAGAGTGATGTGTAGTTTTATCAGTTACTTCAAAAGTGCTGACGTTCACCATGATTTGCTGCCCCGCGAACTCAAACCCACTATAACACAGGCAGGCGTGCAATTTAGTGTCGGTCATCGGACATTGTCCGCCCATATTTTACCTTCTGTTTGATCAAAGCTTTTATGACTACCCTGAGAGCAGAACCTGATTCCCCTCGGATAGAAAATAAGGCTCTGCCGTTTTTGTGTTTTTGTTCGTCCAAAATTCTGGATGAAGTAAACCGGACAAACCGGTAATAAACCAGTTCTAACTGATTTTGAATGCGCGCGCCTTCGTTTTGCATGTAAACCGATGGCTACAACTGAGTCCGCTATGTACTTACAAAATGTTAATTCTTTATATTTTATATTAACCGAAATTTGGCTGACAATAACTTAAATATACTGAAAAGTAACGTAGAATAAAATAAACTAGCAAGTTAGCAATTGTAAGAATATAGAAATAGTTTGATTTCACAACTGACAAGTGACAAAGCTATATAGATTTGAAAATGTTTTTGTATTGTTCATATTGTCGTAATTGTACAGCACGTGCATGCAGTTGCACGCACCCAGCATGTAGCGATAACTGCATGTGATTGGTTCTCTAAATTTATCTTTATCACTCTAAAAATACAAGTGATATTTGACATGTTTTGACATGATATTGGAAATAGAGCATGCGCGACACAAATTAAACACAAAAACGGCAGAGCCTTATTTTCTTCGCGAGGGGGAAATCAGGCTCTGCTCTCAGGGTATTTTGTGACAAGACATGTGACCGACCAGTTTAGGCTGCTTAAGGGGCTGATTACATGCATGGGCGTACCGGAAGCAAAAAATTAGGGGGGCGGAAAGAAAATTGCCCGACTTTTCGGGATTCTGCCCGACTAGTACCAAAAAATTTTTTCCGGAAAAATTATTTTGGCGACCTCCCACCACCCCCCCCCGTCGCCAAAAAAATTTCGGTCAGTGTACCATTTTAGGGGTCAAAAAAATTTTCCGGACAACAAATATTTTTCGGAACATAACACAAATTTTCGAAAAATCACAAAATTTGCCAGAAAATTAACTTAATTTTACACAAAATTGACAGAATTTGTCCCATTTTTTTTATTGCAAACCAAAATTGCCCGACTGTTGATCGAATATTGCCCGACTGCCCAAAAAAACTGGGGGGGCTACCGCCCCGCCCCCCCGCCCGGTACGCCTATGATTACATGGGCCGAGTTGTCCCGCTTTTCCGAGTTATATAGATAGATACTGATAAACTTTATTTAAACACGCTTACCCCGTCAACTGAAGCTGATTTCCACGAAGGGCGTGCGAAAAGTATACAGAAAAGAATTTTAAAACTATTTACAAAATTATGTAAGATATATAGTATTATATGAACTAACAAACTAAGGTAGTAATCTATATACAGGTAATATTAACATCTATGTTAATTAGCTATCAAACAATATGAGTAGTGATTTCCTTTCGAAAGGAAGAAAAGGATTTGCTCTCTTTTATTTCTTTAGGAATAGAATTCCAAAGATGTGCTCCGTCATACACGAAACTTTTTTTCATATTATTAGTACGTGGTTGTGGTAAACAAAGACTACTTGAAATGTTCCGAAGTTTGTAGTTTGTCACCTCACCCTTATATGTGAAGAGATTACTGAGTGATTTGGGTCCCATTTTATTCAGACAATAATTTGTACCTGATTTTTGCTTTACCTTTCTTCCTTTCTGTTTTAAGTGGCTTCCAACCCAATGCTTGCAATGCAACAGAGTGATCTATGTCATTGCTCATATTCAAAATAATCCGAGCAGCTCTGTTTTGTAGTTTTTGGAGTCTTTTTGATTGCGTTTCTCCAAACACATCCCATACTTCACAGCAGTAATCAAAATATGGGCGAACAATAGCATTATATACAAAAAGAAGTGTTTGCTTATCAGCAAATTCTTTTAAACGCCTAAGAGCCGATATTCCAGATGTAATTTTCTTGCAAATATTCTCAGTGTTAGTTTTCCAAGATAAATGCTGGTCAATTGTCACTCCAAGAGTTTTGGATTCATAAACTTTTTTAATTGATTCGTTTTCAATTTTCACATTTAGTAGCAAATTTGAAATATTTTTTATCATTTGTTTTGAACCAATTAACATAAACTCAGTCTTAGCAACATTTAGACTAAGTTTATTGGCCGAAGTTGTCCCGGCTAAGCGAGTTGACTTTTGAATTGCGATTACATGCACCGCGCTAACCCGGCTAGCCGGGCTGAAGTAGCTCATTAAGATTTGTAATGCTTAACAATTTAATACTCGATGTTAGCAATCGATTAAAAATGGTGTATTTGTTGTACTTGAGGACTACTTTACCCACTGAATGTTAACAGTTGGTTAAGGTATTTATACTTAGCGCTGATCGAACAGGCTTATATACTGTTTGTATCCTAACAA